TGAAATACTTCAGGTCCTATTAGTCAAAGTTTTAACTCATACACTAATTAGTGTACTAAATATATTTATGACTGAGCGAAGACCGCGAAGAGGTAGAAAATTATTTAGATTGTATTGTTGATTCTCCCCTAGTGACGTCAGACTATACAATACCAAGGTCGAATTTTAAGACATTCGTTAAGCCATATTGGAAACATATTACTCATTTACATAAACGCATGTACAATGAGAAACTTTGAATAGACGTAGAGTTAATCATTCCTTAAGAGAATATATGAACGTTAAGTAGCTATGTAGATGCGTGACGAGGAAACAGAAAATAGAAGAGTATGCAAGATACTGAGCAAAATGAGTACATTGACAATTCTCCTGAACTCGACCAACATAAATTCTAGTCTTCGGAGTAAGAAAATAATATTATTATGTAAAAACATGGAAGTAGTGGAGCACTGTAAGTTCCTACTGATCACTACTCGGTCGATAACATGTTTAAATATAACAGTCAGCGACGACTACATTTCATAACAGTTAACACTGTTACACGTAGATAGGATTTTGAGCATGCATATAGATAAATCAGAAACTGCTACAGCAGATGTAAAATAGTTACGAGGGAATAACATTAATTCCTGTTATTGAGAAAGTATTTAAGTATATCTTTGCTGACTGGATTTGTGTACATTTCAACTTTGTGTGGTATACCTCACTCATGACAAGCGGAATATAAATACATCTACTCTCAAAGTAACGTTACAATTTCGTTTGTTTGCAAGAAACGACGTATTATTAAATTGAGAGGCATAGTGAGGTATACCTATGCTTGCTACACTTACATAAGGCATTTGACTTATTGTGGTGGGATGGTTTATTGTTATATACAAGTTATATCAAATTTGTGTTTATTTTAAGAGGTGGTCATTTGGAATAGGCTGTCAAATCAAGAATGTTCAGTTGCTAATGGAGCTGCTATCTCCAGGCTATGTAATATATAACATGGACATATTTATTCGTTTTGTATATGAACGATCTGCATAACAAACTTGAGCAGATGCAGCGAAACCCTGACCGATGTCACTCTTGGTATATTTGGCTGGATTCCTTTGATAGGCCATAATGCCACGACATCTATCATTCGTATGTTATTTTAGCAATTATTTTGTTCCAGATATAGGTGACATTCCTAGAAATATCGTGTTGACTATTGCATATTTACCACGTTTCCATCTAAACTTTTATGGAAAACTTTAGTTTTTATCTGTAACTGATGAAAGAAGGCCTAATATGATTGGGTTCATACTGTTGTTTTTTTAATTGGGAGTCATTGATATACTCTTCAAGCGATTCATTCCGATTTTACATTCTGTCAAGATCGGATAGACACATCATCAATTTTATAAAATAATTGGTAAAAGGCGAATTAGATGACATTTGCAGACAAGTAACAGCAAAGATAAACTGGCAGCGATGTGTCAAAATGACACATAAATAGAAAGCTAGTATTCTAGGAATTAATTCTTAACAGGGGTTTCACTAGATACCAAGTTACTTTCCTAGAGATGGAAGTAAGCATTATACACCTTGATAACTTCTCGGAATTATATATCCATATCTCAAACCATTTGCAGCCAAAATTGAACACATCTTCATTAAAAATTAATACATGTACATGGAAATTGTAAGCCCACATCATATAAATAACATTACATTCGTACAATACATTAGACTTTATTCAGCGTAAGACACAAAACAATAACACCAATTATATATTAAATCGTTTGATTGTAGTCTCGTGAAAAGTAACAAGTGTTTAAATAACGAAAACACGCAACATTCAGAATATAATGTAGATTCAATGTATTTGCATGTAAAAGTGTTAAACAATAAATAAACAAACAAACAATATACATAATTTAACGTTAGGTATGGTAGACCCTGAGTGACAGTATTAAAATGGTGGATTTTGTCGAATTACAAATTTAACGAAGATCGTATTACTGTGAATGAAAAAGCAACCCAACCAGCAGTATAGAAATATGGGTCACTGGTTTACAAACAAAATAGCAATATAGATAGTTCAAATGTAACAGTTTTCTATGGTAAGCTGATATTAATATTGGTTAGCTTTTAAATTCACAGTAAATATGTCCCACAAATAATAGTTGCTTACAGTTCCATAATTTCACCACAAATATTCATATAATAATAGTAATAGTTATATTAAGCATATATTGTGCTTACATCACGGTTAATACATCGACCAATTCAGTGGCAATGTTTACTTCCCTTAGCATGCAATGACGCAAGACCTAAAATGAACCTCGATGGCGCTGCCAAAGCGCTGCCATGACCCCGACTAACGCATGCGCAATAGCACTGTTGTTTTCCTGTAAATATGGAGGACAGTTTCAGTCACTCAGGTCAGTAAGTCCATTGATGTTTTCGTTCTTTTAGCAATTACCAACATATTGTACATTCATTTATTAACGTAAACAGAGAACAATTGAGCACTCATCAAATGATTTCATTTATTTGTCGCTCTTCTTGGGTTATATTCGAATTCAAAATCTCGTGATTTCATTTTGTTATTGAACAACTGAAGTCAGCTGATGACGCATCAGTGTTATTAACACTTTACGGAAAATATCTGATCAACTCGGTTACTTGGCTGTACTCTCGCCTCGAATACTCTTCAACTTGTCTTATTCCTGATTAGTTATGTTATAAAGTAATTTCAGTCAAGATGATGATAGTTGAACTGTGCTTGAAAGAATATGCGTACCCCGCCCGACCCTATAGTACCGGCAACTTTAAAACGTCTACTTATTTCGTTGTGTCATTGTGTGTGGTGAATCGATCGATGATCACACAGGGCTTAAACTTGGAGTTGACGAGGCCGGCGCCCATTTTCGAGGTCAAAATTTAGAAATTGTCCTTAGCACATAGGACTAACATTATATATATATATTTATCTTTATTCAGTACTATAGGCCATGGGCCTTACATGTACAATATTAAATATTCTTGAAAATAAATTAATAAACCCTCCCCCAGTCATTCCATAAGTTTTCGGCGTTTCTGTAATGAAAGAAAATAAACTTGCCTAGATTTACTAATGTATTTGAATTAATTAACAAAACAAATTTCCATTCTGTTGCTGGAGAAAAATAAAAGTGTGGAATAAATTTTAGTATTGACAATTTAAACACGGATAATATCAAACCCATAGGGCATCGGGGCAATAAGTGTTCCCGGGTATGAATATTTTCTGAACACTTTTTTTGTGGAAGACATCACGTTGATGACATCAAACAGAAAAACAAAAGTTATTTAGTAAAGACATCAATCAATATTCAAGAAGAATTGAAAATGTCCATATGTTAAAACTATATTATCAGTTTAAGAAAAGACAAAATAATAACCCAACCTGGTGAATATTTATCCAAAATAAAGTAAGTCATAGCATTGACTGACATTTTACTTGAGTATTATATGTATTGTATTTTATCACAAACATTTTATTGCTGTCAATCAAGGGAAACTTTTTTGAAAGATCCAGTAAGTTTACTATTATATTGTTATATATATTGTGTAGTAATGAGATTGCAAAACACATAAATAACAAAATAATTTATTAGAAAATATATGTACAAGGTAAAAATAATTTTTCAACTGAATATTTTGGGGGCAATTCACTATATACATCTAAAGTATGAATTCTAAACATGACTTGACAACACACAAAGTCCACAATCCTATCATGAAAAATATGTTTAGAAAATTATCAGACCAACTTTACCTTTCTGAACCATCTTGCAAAAATAATTATTTAACTTGAAGCACAATAAATGATTTTTTGAATGACCACTGCACTCATTCTGTCAGGAAAATATCTATGAAAATAAAAAAACATGAATTGCACATTTTATGATGGCAAGTTTGGGTGGGTGCGTCACTGGACCATTTTGCATCTCCATACTTTAGGGATACATTACATACAGACACAGGTATAATCAATTTCAATTGTCTATGAATGCCTTGTGTTTGTTTGTTTTTTTGCTATCTTTTTGTATTACTTTATTGTATTTTCAACTAAGATCCCACTCCGGGATACGGTTTCAATAAAGATTATTATTATTATTATTATAATAAGTGTAGTCAGTGTTGTACTGAAAACATACCTTTTTTCACCTGTCCTTATCATCACAGATGAAGGTCAAGGTATAGGAGGGGAAAATGTCTGTTCTTATTGTTGTTGCCATGGACTCCATCCTAAAACTTAGTTACAATCAAACAGTTTTTATCTGATCACCTTTAATTTGGGAATCTTATCATTCTCTATGGAATTTTAACTAATAAGTTCAATTTTGGTTTGATACTGCTGATAATGAGAACTAGATGTTAGTAATATGCTTTCCAAGATCTGTCAATTAGATAAGTTTTGTTTTCATTCTGTAGTATAAATTAAAAAAAAAGTGTACTATTCCTGCCAAATTGCTATCTTGTAAACAACTGTTGAATAACTGTTGTATGCATAGCAGTTGTCCATACAAGTGACAATGGTCAAGTCTTACTTGACAGCAAAATATTCCTCATGTTCCTATTGTATACCATGTGTGAAATTGAAGGCATGTAATACACTACTATACACATGCATTATGCAGATTTTTTTTTATGCTCTTTTCAGTAGCATGCTTTACTTATGAAAGTGGAAGTCTGGAATTTGAGGATTTTCCCAGAATTGATGAAACAGTGTGGATTCTTGGAAAAGCATATCATTTAATCAGAGATCGGAGTGAGTTACTTGCTGACATCAAATCTCGCATTTGGATAACATATAGAAAAAACTTCAGTGCAATAGGTAAGGTAGTATGTGACTGATTAGTGTTACAGTACAATAGGTATGGTTGGTGTGTGAGTTGGGTTATGGGTAGGTAAGTATGTCAATGGTTAAGGGGTTGTGGGTAGGCGGAGTTATTGAATGGTTGATTGGGCTTTGGCTAGGTGAGTATAATTGAGGCCGCACCCCTAACTTGAGCCATTGTTTCTTGTTGAAAATGACAAGTTTTGATCCCAGGGAAACCCTGCAATATAAGCCGCACCCCAAACTTTAACATATGCGTGTGCCACACATACCAAATATATTTCAGAAAGAGATATACCCGGTACCGTAACCTGCAAATATGTATGAATCTATTTGTAGATATTATTTATTGCGCAGTATGTTGTACAGTTTGTGTTTATTGTGTGTACAAGTTTGTCTATGTGGGAAAATCCAAAAAAGGGCTAGGAATTGCAAAAAAATTTCTTTTATGTTACAATTGAATGTCATGCATCTCATTACCATATCATTATCCCTTCAGGCCTTTTCCCACTGTTACCGACTTCATGCTTCTGAAATCACACATTAAATAATTTTATTTTTATTAAAGCCGCAGCCTCAATTAGGATTTTTACAGTAATTGAGTAATGGACAATTCTGTAGTGGGTAGGTGAGCAAGCGAGTTGGTGAATGGGTGTATATGTAGGTGTTTGGGCATTGGGCAGTTGCCAGCTGCTACAGGTGAGCTAGTGAAAGAATGCATTGATTCAGTGTAGTGTGTCAGATCTGATGTACCAAGTCAAGTGCACTAAAGAATGGAACATCACAGAGTAAAGAATGATGTTTAGTTGGTGCATCAGGTTTCTCTACCCAGTTATTTCACATATTTGTTACAGTAGTGTATGTAACCTATTTGCTGCAAAATCCATAATAAACATCAATATTGCATGTTGCATCTATTTTGAAATCTTTCTGATATAATTTTGTGATAACAGTTTGTCCTGTGTAATACGTACATTTGTATTTACAGGAGGAACAGGGCCTACAAGTGACAATGGATGGGGATGTATGTTACGATGTGGTCAGATGATATTAGCTCAGGCTTTACTTTGTAAACATTTAGGTAGAGGTAAGTTTATTTATTTTTACTACATGTAATGTATACAGTGCTGTCCATATGCATGTCAATATATCCATGTTTGAATGCAGTAACACACACACACACAATTTTGTTAGGCAGGATTTAATCAGATTGTCATATTTTCAATGAAACTAGAACATGTGTCTAGATACACAGCTTGCTGCTAAATTGAGTCCATGTGTATGTTAGATACACCTGAATGTGCTAGATGGATCACATTCTATAATGTCTATATGCTAATGAGATGGTGATTGCGTTGATAGTGAGAGTTATGATTATTGTGGTATTTATGTCAATTACATGGATTGAGAGAGATGTTGACTGTAATGTTGAGTCAATGAGTGAAGTGATGTTGACTAATATTGATTTAAAGTGATGTTGATCATGATGTTAAGTGAAAGTAATTTTGACTAATGTTGAGTCAATGAGTGAAAATCATATTGACAAATGAAATAGGTGAGATAACATGTTTTATGTCACTATAATGTATTTGTACATTAAATAGAATGGAGATGGGAGTCAAGGGAACATCAAAATGAGACATATTGTAAAATACTCAAATTATTCTTGGATAGGAAGGATAGCTGTTATTCAATTCACCAGATAGGTAAGATACAATTTGTTATATGGTTATCACCTCACCTGATATGACTTGTTCATTGTATTTCTGATTTTATATATAATCACCAGTTTGGCTTATTGTGTTTCATGAACCCAATCATGTCAGGGAATACACCATTGAGTTTTACAATTAGTTGTCCTTGTACTGAGTGATGTTTTCGTCATGTGTTTTATCTTTTAACTTAACATTGTTCAAAGGGTTACAATATAACAAATATGTGTAATGTCACGAGAGAAAGCATACAGTAATTTGATTGTACTTATCTATTATAGCTCAAATGGGAGTAGGTGAGGGGAAATCAATAGGACAGTGGTTTGGTCCAAATACAGTTGCACAAGTATTGAGGAAACTAACTTTATTTGATGATTGGAGTTCTATTGCTGTACATATTTCAATGGATAACACTATTGTTGTGGAAGATATTAGTGAGTACTTTTACCATGATGCACTCAAGAGAAGGAAACAGTGGAGCAGCGCCATCATGCCATGACCATGCGCCCCCTTACTTGAGGGAGCAGATCCTCTGGCAACCATAAAAATCTGATTGATCAGGGTTCACATGGGGACACAGTGACCTGTCTGATAGTAATTTTGGCCCCAAGGAAGCCTAATTTTGAGTTATAATTATCAAAAACTCCACACCCTGGTAGGGAGAACCCTATCCCCCCTCCCCACTTGGTGGCACCACTGAATTGCAGTACTCCCTCTTGCAGTTTTTTTTCTAGACAAACCCCTGTGCACTCATGTGAGAAATTTTTCTATTGTGGAAACCATTCCACAGTATACTTCATTGTCATATTTCATTTAGTTCAATTGCAGATGGATGCAATATATGATTCAATAATTTTGATGTAAAATAAAATTCCCCATGTTAGACTTTAGTCAGTCCTGTAGGCCATTCATAGACTACTGTAGTATCCTAAATAGTTAAATAAAATGGCTCTCTATTCCTAGGTTTTTACATGCATATTGTAAGTCAAGATATAATGGGTGCAGTAAAAATCTTATTAGCAATGATTATCATTCATTTATATAAGAAATGTAAATGTTTTGAGTACAGTATGGGAATAATAATTCCAATTGATAACATCATGGCTGATGTTATATGTTGATGTTTAGTCATGTGACTGTATGTTTGTATACTGTGGACACTATATTCTTAATTAAGATTAATTAATTTGATTGCATTTACAGGAAAACTATGTAGAACTCCATTATTCACCGAGTGTGCTTCACCCAAAGCAGCATCTGCATCTCTAGAAAACGGTGGCACTACATATTGGAAACCTTTAGTATTATTTATTCCGTTGCGACTAGGACTTACAGAAATAAATCCCCTTTATTTAGATGTATTAAAAAAATGTTTTACACTTAAACAGTCACTTGGGATGATCGGTGGCAAGCCAAATCATGCTCATTATTTTATTGGGTTTTACGGTGAGTATATATTCAAGAATCATATACAAGTAATCGTTCATTGAACTCTGCAAATGAAGAAATCTTAGTTATTATTTAAATTCAAAACTTCAATGTAATTTTATGCATTGATATTTTGCCGTTCATAGAATTGACATGGCTCTTATAAATGCACTGTTATTTTCATAATTGCAGGCAAGACACTAGTATATTTAGATCCCCATACAACCCAGCCAGTAGTAGACATCAACAAATGGGCTAGTATACCAGATGATACTTACCACTGTAAACATCCTAGTAGAATGAATATAATGCATTTAGATCCATCAATAGCATTGGTAAGTATATCAACACTAGCAGTGCCCTTACAAGTACATTGTGTTGTATGTATAGTAATAGTATAAGTTGTATTATATAGAGTAAATACAGTCTGTCTGTCAAAAACTATTTATGCAAATTCACAGCCATAAATGAATGGTCATTGTCTCTAACTCTTGGGTCGCCATGTCACATGGTAATCTCCAGACTTAAATTTGTAAATATTCAATAATGATATGCATAATAATTGTATATTTACACTGAATTTCAAAGTCACTTCTCCTAATGTAATTGTTTACTTCATGCTTGTAGGGATTCTTCTGTCACTGTGAGTCAGACTTTGATGATTTGTGTACCAGTATCAAACAAGTAAGTAGAACCAATACAAGACATGTATAATGCTGTTGCTGATACCTTGCTGCCAATAAGAAAGTATGCCATCATTTGTTTATCTACTACCATGTACATAATACCTAATGATGCAAACCCTATCTTTCTTCTGAACATCAAATATAACCATTTAAAAGAGGTTTGTAATGTCAGCTGAGTTCACTCAGGACAATGTTCTAATTATACTGTATCTGTGTAAATGCTGTGGCAGTAAAAATGTCACTGACATGCGTGATATTTAGTTCATGCAATTATTGAGCAATTGACAATGTTTTCTTTTCTGACAAATTCTTTGATTACTACATTACTGTGTAATCTTATGTTAGAAGATCAGGAGTGAAGGTGGGTTGTTCGTGAGTCCATTTGTCTTGTACTTTTTTATTACGAGTTGAATATACATACTTGTACATCAGGTAAGACTACTAAATTAACAAAACAGTATACACATATTATACCTGACTCTACTGTATCTTACAAAAGTATTCATGAATACCAAGATGTTGTAAAATGTAATGGTACCTATAATACTGAATCAACATGTTCAATACAAAATAAAGAAATGAAGCTGGTATTGAAAAATATCTGCCTTAAACAACATGTCCCTGCTGAGCATAAATGATTTAGCCCCTTCCTTCATGCACATAATAACTAAGCAACCAGAAAACCTGCTATTCTGACAGCCAAAACGTTTACAATTATTAAGTATGTAGGACAGAAATGCGTCAATGTCAAACGCCCTCTATAGTTCATTTTTGTATCCCACAATCCTTTGCAAAATCAAATATGGAGTTAACACATCTCTACTCTATATAGTGATTTTTCATTTACGGATAAATAAACGAAATTACATTAACGAATGTGACTGATAAGTTTTACTATAAAAACCTTAGCATCCCGTTGGCAGGCCAGTCACACTGGTTCTCACTACAAGAGGTTACGATCCCCCCTGCCAAATGCTAAGGAAAACTGAAACGTATATATACATATTTACATAGAATATTGTCCACCCATGCGAATCTGTTGGTGCAAGGTTTTTATGACTGTATGCCCTTACTGACGTCAACCAAACATTTTATGTGGGAAGTTGGCACCCAAGGCTGACAGGTACTACACCTTGCCCAAGGGTGACCTGGAGGTAGTTGTGGCAAAGGGTAACCCCATTCTCCCAAGTCCATAGACTCCACAACCGGATGTAGCTTAAAATCATACCCAGGATAAGAAAACACAAAACAAAATGACCATGTGAAGGAAACCCGAAAAAATAAAACATGAAAACGCAATCAGACATGGATTTGTAATACTCCATTTTCTACTGAACAAAGTGTATCATTAGTAGCCCAGACTTGTTCAAACCTGTCCAGTTGTTTTATCATTTTGAAATACTGGTACTCCGACTTTATCCGGGCAACAATTCGATTCTTGAATATTTCAAATGGATTCACAAGCAGGTTTTTCTCTCGCTTATTCCGACGAGAGATATGAATTGCTATTTTGGCAGTTGATATAATATACAAGAAGATGCTCTCACACTGGCGAGAGAGAAATTTACTTGAATGATGAGGAGGAAGAATAACAAACCACCAATGTGGAACTGAGATACCAGGCTTGAGAAGATTTGTAGACAAATGCTTGATACTACTACAGAGGGCATCAATCACCGGACATTCCAGGAAAATATGCAGCAAAGAATCCAACTCGCCACAAAGTGGCGAGATTGGCACCAACAAGAAAGCCCGCTGTAGTGTAGGCACCATG